GATCCGCCTGTGCATTACCAATCTGGATTTGACTCTGCAACAATGGTTGCAAGTGTTGAATGGGGGAAGACAGAGAATGTTATATACCTTGTTTGTAGTAAAGCTTTCGCTACAAAGAAGTATAAGGTCCCACTCTACGAGCTGAGGATGCGGGGTGTTGGTAGGGCACTACACCAGTGGATCGGCAACTTCCTTATTGGGAGAAAATGGCGGATTCAGGTGGGTGACCACCTAATGGATTGGTACACGTTCATTGGCGGAGATCCCCACGGCACAGTACTAAGGCAACTTTTAGTCTTGGTCCATATCAAGGAAATAGCTTAGCTTCTTCCGTCGTCCTGCGTATTATTTGAGGAAGACCTGAAGATTTGGAGGATTATTTATTCTACAGGGGACTGTGACGTCCTACAGCAAGACCTCGACCACCTATGCCGGTGGTCTGCAGAAGTTAACCTATTGGTCAATCTACTTAAATCCTCCTGTATGAGCCTGGAGCGTGGTGGTAATGGGTGTGTGCCAACCTGGACGACCACCCGCCGCATCTCACCAGTTCCGTAAAAGATCTAAGCGTACTCCCACTCTGTGATTTTCAGACTGTCGATAACATGAGCAGACTGTAGGTAAACGGACTACACCAGCTATGGACACGTAGATGTAGCTTTTGCATTTGGGTTGAAGAGATTGCCACCTGTCTTTTCTCTTCAATGATAAGGCGGGTGCTTGGATTCTGCTCACAAACCTATTGTCCGATCCCAACAAGGGAGGTGCAAAAACCAGAACGGGTCCAACGTGTAGCTACCCAGTTCATGCTCAGGTTGTAGGGTATGTCGTACCAGGACCGATGTAGGAGACTGGGGATGTAAACCCTGTCATTTCGTCGTCTTCGATTTGATCTCATTATGACACACAACAGGGTACACCTGGCCCACTTCACTACATTGAGGCCGCTGCTGCACATTCGCGCACGAAGCAGAACATGCGGACAACGGTACAAACTAGTGGTACCAGATTTAAAGTGCATTGCTCATCCTCTAAGTTTCGAGCGTCCAGTGGTTTTACGTTTGAAAAATGTGCCTGAGACCATAGTGGAGGCGAAATCGGTGTCGGAATTTAACCGATTCCTTGACGTCCAGTTTGCCGACTTCAGGCATGGGGAGCGTATGGCACCCGGATAAGATGTAGTGCAACTGCAATATGCTGCCACGGCGCAGGAATCAGCGACGTGATCCCGTGCATGTGTCCGATCCACCTACGGTGGAGCAACACAAATTGTTATCTTCTGCTCTCTATCCTCTTGTGTTCATTATTCTAGACGGCTAGAGATAATATAGCCAAGCTCCATAGGAATGTTTGGTTATACATCCTCACGTAATTGGCCATTGGGGTATTCAAATCTTTGTCATATATGTCTGCTCATCTTACTATTTGTAGGTTCTGTTATATAAACAGTCATGAGCTGTAGTGCAGAGACGTATGGCCGCTATACTCCGAATAATTACGGCGTACAGTTAGGGTTCTATGCCTCACCAGTCAGCACCTCTGTGCTGATTCTGGACAATGTTAATTTTTATTAAACCAGGACGAAGGGAGGAATAACAGCCTACGCTAGGAAGAGCATGTTTGTGCGAAAAGGGAGGTAGTTCGTCCACCTCTCACTGAGTCTGAGATTAACAGGCGTTAGGTGGATAATGGAGCCAGGTAAAAGAGAATTTCATGGAAATAGCCAAGGTAGAATGTGGTGGCGGTCGAAAGTCCTGGAAGTCTGGCTATCCCAAATGACATGGGCCACTCTGATACACGGTTAACTTTCAGGCCAGCTTAAACGAAAATGAAAGATTGTCGAACAAGATGATGATAGTATCCGAAACAGGATCTGGCTTCTCATTCTACCAATCAACCAGCGTTATCAGATGGCCAGCATTCAAGTCTGAAAGGAGTTAAGGGATGATGAGGGCTAAAATGTGGTGAAGTAAAGTGACAAACGTCTGGGTCAAATTTGCTGTTGCATCAGAGCATTAGTTAACCAACTAGCTGTAATGTTCTGATATGGAGTTCCAAGGTAAATGTTTCAAAACCAACATGACGGAGAAAAAACTCTGATGACCAGTAACAAGTGCAGGACGGTTAGCAGTGTCAGTGCCGAAATCTAATAAGATTAGTTAGCTCTGTAACCTAAAGGGGCAAATAGAGCACTGAACCTAGAAAAATGAAAATGTACAAAAGTAGATCAGCAGGGTCAGGACGCTTATAAGGTGAGATATAAGCCTTGCAGAACTACGAATGTGGTAGATGTGAGGCTCCTCAATTAAGTTCTATAGGGCCATTCTAGTAAATATCGTCCAGTGACGTATATCCGCCCAACGTACGTAATGCCACCTTCACCGTTAGCTGACGGAACACGTGCGTAGGAAATAAATGCTTAGTGTTGTCGCATCTAATGAATTCAATAAGCCTATTCCATGTGGTTTCATTTCTTTTGAGACAGAATGTGGAGCACAACCTTGTGCACTCTCAGACTAGAGAGGGAATAACGTGCTAAACCGAAATTGTGCACAGTAATTGGTTAAAGTAAGCAAGGATCTTTGTGATCCATCTGTACAATTCGATCGGAGCAACTGCTAGGACCGTATCTCCCTCATCGGGAGATAACTACATAGATTTTCGCTCAAGTCGGCTACAAACATCACATAAATTTCACGGATGGATCAAGTCCATTATCGATTTGCGACTTGAGAGTCCCAAACAACTGTGTACGACGTACTCATTGTCCAATCCAACCCTCTGTTTAATTGTTTATCATTCATCGTTATACGGTACGAGTTACATTCTGTGTGCAGAACACTTTCGTAAAACATGCTAAGTTTTATTTGGATGCCATAATATTTTTATTAATCATCTCACCTGTTCACGCATCATCTATAAATTGTTTGCTTAATCATCACACACAGTGGTCCTAGTACATCCACAATAGGCAAACCGCTACGCGTCTGGCGCGACCACCTTTGGAAACTACATCCACGTGGTACACGCTAAGTCGACTTTTGTTGTATAGGGCTTCATAATTCATATGTCACATTTACACCAATTATCCGTTTTGCGGACCAAATCATCGCGCATATTATTCCGAATAGTTTCTAGTGGCCTAAATAAAGGAAGAACCACTGTGAAACTGAAAAATTTGACTAACGCTAAGGTGCACTACAAATTGGAGTCCACTGCTTCCGGGTTGTATTAGTTCAAGCCTCGCTATGGTTGCCTCGATCCAGAGCAAGAATCGCTTGTTGATGGTAAGTTGATTTTATAAAACAACCACGTGAAGTGTTCTTACTGACTTTTGATCTTCGTGATCCGGCATACCGCAACCATGAGCTAATCGTTCAAAGCATGCTAGGAAAGATTGAGAAAGAAGAAGATTTACCTCAGCTGGTACGTGAAAGTATTGCAGTTACTATATTTGCTGCCATTCTCTATTAATAGTTTGAACCCACCAAAAAAGCACAAATTCTGACACACATAGTAAAATGCATCCCTTACGAATGTGGGACATTGGCTATAGAACAGAACCACGAGCTTTTGTTTGAAGGCATTCACTTAACCTGGGCCATATCTACATTTAAGGTTCATTACATTCACCGTTTTCTCTCAACATCTCTCTGCACAACTTTAATTATGATACTTTGTATTTCAAAGTAGAAACCTCAACAACTAATTTGTCGGTCTTTCCACGCAATGGCGCAGTAAACGAAAATGACAGCACGGATTTGATCGGTAATTTTATTTTATCGTCCGGCAAAAGCAACGTTCTTCAAAGTAATTCGGAAACCACTAACTTTAACCGATCCCAATGCCATCAACGAAACAATCACAATATGGGAATCCACGTCCAATGATATACTTGAGGTAAGTGTGACTTTGAGATTCTTACGGTCAACATCACTCTTGTTCTTTCGGCAGCGGTACCCTGTCCAGAGAAAGTACACCGAAATCAAATGTGTGTATAACACTCCAAAAACAACGTCGTCCGTAAGTGCTTTGACTGTATCTTCTTTGGTTTCCGAGAAACGGGTATCTACAATAGTCACATGTTTGAGAGATTTGATTCTGATAGTTACAATGCCATTGGAGCCACCAGACGAACGTCATGTTTACAATAGCAAAATGGTGTATGCGACATAACAGACATGGTTAACAATATGGTCAAGATTATTAATATGTATACTCACAGTCACGGTTCATTTAGCCCTATGGCATGGTAGACTATGGTCACCTTGACTAATTCTTGCTTTCAGACTGTAAGAAGTTTGTTGCTGACATAAAATCCAGTGATATTTGCGCAATAGGTAGTCTGTAAATTTGCTGCCACGGTGCACACAGGTTGTGTTCATTGTGATCTCAATTCATTCCATTTCCGATTACAGGTCACTGATTGCCAACGATCAGTAAGCGATTCACGGAATGTCGATTATGACAAGGGTGTTTGAAGCACCACCTCCAACCGACTTAAAACATCAATCGAGGTCTAGTTGCTCGGTATCTCTCACATACTCTCTGCGATTTATGATCACAATTCGCCTCTATGCAGATGATCCTCAAAGTCCTGGTTTCTAACTGTGTTAACTCGATTTGTCAAGATCATTTTAACTGCTATGAATAATAGCTTTAATCGCATTGGGCTTCAACGGGTTTTCTTACTTTTCGCATTCCGCATATTTGTCCTAGTTCTGATTGCTTCACGACTGATTATAAGTTGCCCCCACCTTTTACCCTGCAAAGCAACGAATTTAACAAATGATCGCTCACACTTATGGGGCCGTGTACCGTCTGTCAGTAAAATATAAATTTACTTAATTTATTTATCTATTTTATAAATGGAAAGTGACCACATATGATTGTTGTTGCTTTAGACATGGAGTTATTGTATCAGAAAAATGCGTTAACAGAAGTTTGGCCAAAAGCCTGATTCGATGCGCTGGTGAGCCAAACTCGGTAGATATGTTCTACAAGTGAGAAACGCTTACGATAAGTGGACCAAGGTTATTTGCGATACGCTAATTCGCATCACTTGTATTACCTTGGGAGACAATATGATGAGAAGTCAACAGCGACATATGTACAAACATTGAATTTATGAGTGGTCATCTACCGTTGGCTGTCTTAAATACCTCCAGCATGCCTTGTTTGAATAGGTCCATCAAGTAAGATGTCTCAGACTAAGCATAGCACATGTCCCAGTTGTTTTGACTTCCTGTAGGAACGAACGAAACGGTATTCACCGATATCACTACACTAATATAATAGCCAATAGTAATTAGCTCGGTACAATCTAAATGCGGAAAGTTGCGGTATGTGGTACAGTCTAAAATATATAGACACCAAATGAGGGGAGTTTCGGCAAGGCCATCCCCCATCCCTGCAATCCAAGGCCAACCGTTCCGTCTTGGCCCCCGACTAAGTAGATAGAGTTAGCCTAATTTGGAAGTATAATTCGGCATTTAGTGTTTGGCATCGTTTGCCATGTTCACTAGACCATTGAGCTCCCAGCACAAAGCTTGACACATATCAACTATCATTACCAAACATCGATTGTTGGGACAATTGTGTTTGGCACAAGCATATTGACGCTACCGAATTAGGTCACGTACGAGTTATTTCACAATAAACGTTGAAAATTGAAGCACTCGTGAGTCCATCCCGATCACCGTATTGAGGAATGTGATGAACATAACGGACGATTAGGTGGGACATTTGGACTAGTCTTTTATGTCTACTTAATGCAATGTGGAGGATAGTGCCAAGTCTTAGTCACAGCCCTCGCAGCAACTAATTTAGTGCAGGTCTCAATCATTCAAAATAGACGTGATCCAGTGAGTGCATGTGAGCTTATTATCTCCAGCAACCCGATCCATTGATTGTGCATGTGGTGGGTACTCAACTACTCGGTAAACTGTGTCTACGCTTTTGGGTAACGAGTGGGTGTCACAGACCAATCATGGTTCCATTAATATGTGTATCAGTTACAACCATACCAATAGTATGAGTGATACTAATAAAAGATATTTTTGCAAAGTGAGAACCTGCGTCCATATTTGACAGAGCCCATATAAATACAGTAGACTTCATAGCTTTCATGTGCCATGTACAGTTGTATGGTTGTCCTTATCCTTGTTTTTAGCGATGAACCCCAAATGTTTGTGTTCCATCATAAAGTGGATGGTTACAATGCGCTTTGAGGATATTGTTGACACTCAACGCTGCTCTGGTATGAAGTCAACAGTCAGATTATATTGCATGCAACAAAATTTACCTCGCAGAGAATGCATTCATGAAAAATTCACATGGCCGTGCACCGCTAAGCTTGGTTTCGCTTGGCGTACAACATCTCCACTGACGAAACACACCGCCGTTCCACCATACAAGGAGGACGGGCAGTGCGTTCTGCCGAACACTCACAGAAATGTACAGTTTTATTGGGTGTACATATAATCTTCAGCAAACAGTACAGGCGGTTCTTAAACAGCAGTGTTGGTGTTGGTAGAGTTAGTATTTGAAATACCAAAGCAGAGCGTACCCGACGAACTAGCGCATTACAGGCCACACGTACACACAACGTCTCCAGTTACGCAAGGGTTATAGTGCGAGAAGAAGAGGTTGGACGAATGCGTGTTATAATAATTTAATTTCACAAAATACACTAATCACAGCAACCACGTATTCCAGCAAATTGCGTTCACTTTGCCATGGTTGCGCTATAGCGTAATAATATGAATTGTACTAATGTTTGCGAAACGCAGGAATAGCTAATCACCAAGTGCACTCCACAGTGTTCGTTCATTGTGAATACGTCGCAACTCAGTAAACATCAGATATCGCTCGACTATTAGGGGCACAACAGCAGAACTGATATATTGCGAAGTATTTGTTTGGTGGGCGAAACAAATGTCTGCAGAAGAAAGTATATCCAACAAAATGCATGTGCTTACTCCCGTTCACCGACATTTTGTTCCAAACGTGCATTGATCAACTGCATTTTACTTGCGTCGCACCACAAAAGACATGAAAATGTTCAAAATGCCTACTTTGAACGGCTGCGAGCACAGTGAAGCACGTACTGACCAAATGGAAGCCGACCTACGTACTGGGCCGGAATACCGCGATCACAACTTGGCTGGTAGCTTCATTGTCCGGATTCGCCTGTCAAAGTGGCCACCATCTGGCAGTAACAAGACACTTGTTACACACCATGTTCTCGAAAGGGGCCTTTACTAATCATGACCAAACGTAGGAACCGTTGCACTCAGGTGCTGATGAACACCGGTACGCTGATTTGTCGGCAGGGTCGAATAGGGGCAATTGGGCGCGAAATGTGCGTCTACGATTGCAAGGCATACCCGGCCGTTCGTCTGCGGATAACTGATCGTGAGCCAGACACAACAGCCGCGCTGAATGTGTCGTTTCGATCGCTTGGTTGGCGGCCTACACGCAGGTAAAAACGCCAGTAAAAGCTTCCCTGCGAAGTGGTTATTGCATCATAGTGCCAGCAATTGCGAAAAACAGCCTGGCCGTATGTGATGACTGGTCCATGGGCGCCGTATTGCCATCGCCAAAAAGCTGTTATTATCTCATGTCTTGCTTAAAACAAACCCGTAAGCATTGATTAGGCCACTTTCGCTGCTAAAGGGCATCATGCTGCCGGCAGCACATTGTAGGGTTACTGTGTTGTTCGCTTTACTGTTACTATAGCGTGCGTGTTACGGCTGATAATTCACCCTTCATGCCTACGAAAAAACGAATTCCTGACTTGACTTGACGGTACAATGCTCCTAAATTTCAGTCTGCTCCGACGCACTGGCGGCACCATTAGACAGCACACCAATTTAGTCATGAATGCAACTATTGCCCCCACAGCCAGACAACTGCTACTTGTAAAAATTCATTAGGCCTTCGATGGTGTTTCTCGCGTGCTATGGAGGTAAGAGATTTATTCATTTATTCACTTATATTTATGTCTGTAAATCTCAAAGAATTAGATGTTTGCAAGCTCAGACAAGGGAAAGCTATCGCACCGTCACGGAGGAGGTAGCAGAATGCGCGGTTGCCCCACCTGGACCAGACGCACAGAACGTGACGAATTTGAACATGCAGACAATTCAGCGCACATGCGACTGGCAGGAAACCATAAGCGCACTGGCCTCTTTGGGAATGGATAGTGATGAACAATTAAAAGCCCCTGTTACCGCATCCGGATCGACAATAGTTTGTGACCTCCCTATATTGTCATAAAAAGGTGCGGGATGGAATCCAGTGGGATTACCAGTGCTGACCGTTAGGCTGGATAGCTCGGAAAAAGTCGTATTTGGAACCATACTTCACACCGCAACGACGAAAACCCCGTCGGAATTAACGCTAGGGAGAAAATTTCGGACGAGTTTAAATGCAGTCAGCACACCGAAAGGCAGGGTCGACCAAGCAGAATACGAATGGCTGGCTGAATAGAAAACTAACAACCGAGAAATTGGGAAACATCCACCTCAGGTACATTCGTACATACGTGGCCACCCTATTCTCGGACTAGTAGCAGGACAATCGGAACACGGACCCGTCTGAAACCACCTCTCATTCACACACTTTCAAGCTGACAGTTGGAGAAATAGCTAATGCAAAGCGGTTGTATTCAGCTCATTTGCAAAAAACGCATGACATGTAAAGAATTTCGCGGCACAGTGTAAAACAAATGTAGTCCTACTAGGAACCTACCCGATGCGTCACCCTGTACAGCGTTATGCTTTTATTTATAAAGCTAAATGATGCAGTTTGTCATTCACAGTTGCTTGTATGTTCATATGAATCGTTTATGCTACAAACAAGGAAGGGGACAATGTCTTGTCTATGCAGATTGCTTATATGCCGTTGCTTGCTGTCATAACGCGCTACCCGAATAGAGCGATGTTCCGTCATTTTATTGTTTCCATGCTGTCGTTCCCTTACAACTTCGGTTCTTTTCCGCTTCGGTCACAACAGACTGTGAAGCTTTTAACTTGCAGTGTTATAATTCAAAGCACTTCGTAGTTTCCTACTTATAGATACGTCTTCCATCACAGTTTGTTCGTCTTCTCAGTTTTTATAAATTGACTTCGTGTTTGATTAACAGACACAAAGAACGTTGAAGTTATCAAATTCAGCTTTACGTCATCCACTGACAAATACATACCTCGGAGCAAAAACATCTGCATATTGTCACGAAGTTCATTGCTGACGCACGTCATATCACAGTTCTCGACAATAACGATGCCGAAGCTCTCTTACACGTCAAAATCATCCTTGTAGTTGCCTACCGTTAACCTTGCCGCTATGGTATCCGCTCGGCTCCAAAATGAATACACTCAACGCACCATGCAGTCCACTTCACCGGGATTTGTCGGACCAGTGTTCTACTGATACTGCCTAGATGGAATTTTCTGACAACTTCAATGAGCGGATTAAATCAGCAACGGTAAACAAGCCACTTCGTTCCTCAAAGTCACCATTATTCATTCGGTGCATAACCCAAAAACACATGAGAGTATGGGACGCAGCATGGCATACCTACAGTGCGGACGTTAGCCCTGACG